CTGAGTCTATGTATTCAAATGAACAGTTATCACAAATTGACCCCATAACCACCAGCTCAGTGAAAGTCCCCACCCCATCCCCTTCCTTGTCAGACCACTTCTATTCTTGCTCTGCTGGCACAATTCAAGGGTGAAAATAATCTGTATGTCAAGTTCCCGTATGCGGCAAATAGCCTGCTCCCAGCTCCTGCAGGGACATTGCTGTTGCTGTGGTCACTGGAAGAAGGTTGATCTCAGCCAAGGGCTTTCCTGCAGGTAAGAGATTCCCCTCTTCTTCCTGGAGGTGGGAAACCAGATCCCCCTCCTGGGAAGCAGATGCTGAAAGAAGGGAATTTTTTACCTGCCTTGCAAGCTGCTTAATAGCAAAAAGAGACAGTGCCGGATGAGAGCTAGATGACCAGAACTGCATGCAATGCCTAGAGCTCAGGTGGACAGTCTCTCCTCTTCTGGATGTCCTACAGCAGCAAGATACAGATCAGTGAACAGTCACCCTTTCCAGCATGTCCCAAGTTTTGCCTTAAATGCAGCAGTTAAACTAAAATAGAGGCTCCTGCAGAATTCATGCACAACCATGTAAAGGCAAAACAAAAGGCCGGGGATGGCAGCAGGTCTGGTCTGCACAGGGCAGGAAAAGGAATAGGAGTGTCCCCCTGGCAAGGCACAGATAAGCCATGCAGCCTCCCTGCTCTACTCAGCAAGGGGATGTTTGAATGCAGAAGTAGGAGCCAGCCACATCTTCTCTGATGACTGCTGCTGCCACCATGGGAGAAGGTACCTGATTCTTTCCCAGCAGATAATTCTGGAGAATAGGCTGCCCTGGAAATTGCACTTGAATTAATCTCCACCATCTCCAAGGGTCAGCAGTGCAAAGAGTGCTGCCTTTAGTGGACTCGGGTTATCGGAGCACCCTACACACGTGCTGTGCACACTGCAGGACTGAGATGCTGAACCCCGCTTGCCTGGGCTGTACAATGGGATTGTTCAGACCCCAGCTGGCTGGTTCTCCTCTTTGTGAAACAAGGAAACCTCTGTCATATCAACCCAGTTTACCTGTTAGAAAAATCATAGAAATTATGGAAAGTTAGGGTTGGAAGAGACCTCAGGAGCTCATTCAGTCCAACAACCTGTTCCCAACTAAATCCTCCCAGCCAGGCCTCAAAAACCTCCAAGGATGGAGATGCCGCCACCTCTCTAAGTAACCTGTTCCAGCGCTTCACCGCCCTCCTAGTGAGAGAGTTTTTTCCTAATATCCAACCTAACTCTCCCTTGCTGCAACTTGAGCCCATTGCTCCTTCTGTCATCTGCCACCACTGAGACCAGTCCAGCTCCATCCTCTTTGGATCCACCCTGCAAGTATTTGAAGGCTGCCATCAAATCCCCTCTGTCTTCTCTTCACCAGACTACATAAGCCCAGGTCCCTCAGCCTCTCCTCACAAGCCATGTGCCTCAGCCCCCAAGCCATTCTGGTTGCCCTCCGCTGGACTCTCTCCACCTTGTCACATCCCTTCTATAGCCCTTGATTTTGCAGCTTGATTCTGCTGATTTACCTACAGTTTTAGTTAGATAATGGGGTTTGCCTGCTTTGCTCTTAGGCACTCAGACACCGTGCCAGCTTCTCAGGGACTGTTCTGCCCTTTGCACTTCCGTAGTGCGGATTGATTTCATAGCTGTTTAATATCTGTGCATCTAAATAACCACGGTGTTGACACTTGAGCTACTAATCTGCTTCCCTGGCTGTATCTGCTCATGACGGTATTGCTAGATCCCTCCCTTTTACTGCGGGTCCCTCAATATCTGGCATTTTCCTTGCAGCGCCAACTTCCGGAGTCGTGTGAATAGGTGAGAATCTCACTTTTAAGGGGACAGCGTTTCTGGCCGTCATGATTGCAGTGACAAGCTGATCGATGTGATCCTAATGAACTGTTCAAAACCCCAGCCAGCAAATTAGATGAACCCATTACAATATGATTTTAATGTGTAATTAAAAATCTTGTGAGTTTTTTTGGTTTTTTGGTGCCTGATTCATGATTTCTTGGAAGGTCAGTGAAGGCAAGGCCAAAGACAAGGCAGAAAACTTAAGCTCCTCAGTTTGTTGGAAAGATGAAATTACCTCTGCATCCATTTGTGCTACAGAAGAATTAGCTGCATCTTTTTCCATCTCTCTGACTTGCCTTTCTCAGCCTACCGGGTCTAGGTTACTCCTTCTTCCCTCTTAGCTTCACTTTCAAACTTAGCTTTCACTGGCTTTTCAAGAGACCTGACACAAAGGTCCATTCAGTGCAAAGCATATAGCAGGGCCCTTTGCCAGGAGCAGTTCAAAGTGTTTTGACACTTGTTCATATCCCTTCAGCTTCTGTGTGTTCAATGTGGTTTGTATTAGCACCCCGGAGCAATGTGTGGCTGAAGGAAGCAGGCAGAGGGCTGGTTTTTGGGATCCATCCAAGAAGTGTCGTACTCAATCTGGGCTCTTACAACTACTTATCTAACATGGTACATCAGATGGTTTGATCTGCCAATTAGCCTCAGTCAGAGTCGCTAACCGAAAGCAGATGGATCTATACATTATTATATGGAAAAATGTGCCACTTCCCTTCTTCCTGGAAAGCAGAAGAGCTTGGTTGGTGAAATCTCCCACTCCTCCCCACCTCCCCAGACAGCAGCGTGTCTTGGAGGTGTCGGGCTGAGGATGAACAACTGTGGATGCTCTGATAAAAAGGAGCATGGGAGCACAGGGGAGAAGGTAGGAGTCAGTTGAAGGGTGGTGACTGCCACAGGGGAGGACTGGAAACGTGCTTGAGATGTGCCCTGGACTTGCTGCCTTTCCCACGCGTGGGAATTGTGCATTGAGATCCTGTAAAGACAACCCACCAGGCCTCACTCTCCTTCCCCCTCCCCGGGGGCAGGAGGGTCTCTGCCCCCCATCCTGGGCAGAGAGTTCGAACCTCTTGGGCAGGCAGAGGAAGGCATCGTGGCCCAATAAAAATGTTGGGAACTTTCTCCTCCGTCCCCGCATCTTCCCACTGTCCCCCAAACGCACAGAGACACATTTATCAGCTTCAAAAAGAGAGCTGTTGAAATAGCATTAGGGGCCTGATTTAAAGTCACAAAAGCCATGAAATTCAGAGTTAAGGCTAAAAATCCACTTGACATCCTGGCCTTAAGTCATAAAAGGCATGAGTCAAAGGCAGCCTCTGAACGCTCAGTGCCTGAGCTGCAACTCCAGGTTTTCTGGCTTCCAGGTGGGGAGGGAGAGTGCAAGTCTGATCCCTTAATGAGATTTAAATGAGCTGATAGGCTAACCTCAAAGATGGAGAGGTGCAGTTTGAATTGGCAGCAGGTTGCTTATCCAAACCCTGTAGTCTGGGAATTGGGCTGGAAAAGCTTTTTCTCTTCTCCCAGGGGCTTCAGAGTACCTGTATCTGCCACTGCCTTTAGCCAGGCTGTTCTGGGACACAGGATCCTCCACAGCTCTGAAATCAGGATGGTCTGTGATGCCCTTATCGTCCTGGGATGAGCCCAAGGTGGTAGGCAGCGCGCTCTGTTTTGCAGGAGTCCAGCCTGGGACGTGGGAGCCCTGGTTCTGCACCGGGTTGCTGTTCTGCTGTGGGACCGTCCCCTCCCTGGTCCACCAGTTGTCTTGTCCATTAGGGTGTCACTTCCTGCTCGCTTTTGATGCCTAACCCAATAGTCACCATCTCATCTGGATTCTCTAGGTCAGCAGTGGGCAAGGTTTTGCAGTGGCAGGCCATATCAGCCAGCTCAGGTCTGAAATGGGCTGCTGCATCTGCCCATTGCTGCCTCTCTCTGTTGCCTGGCCATGGCGTGGGCAAAGCCCCCCACCCCCAGCTCCGTTGGCTGGATGCAATAGCTCCCTAGGCCAGATCTGGCCTATTGGCTGTATGTTGCTAATCTCTGCTCTAGATTATCATAATCCCAAATCTTGGGTGCATTAGTCCTTTACCAGACCTGAGTAAATCTGAACAAACCACGTCTGTTTTAATGACTTTTTTATTATGGGAGAAGCACAAAACTCTACCAGCGTCGGACTGTGACAGGGCTGTGTCACCTGGAACGGGCTGCCCATTACTTTCTGGTGTGTTTGGTCATTCAGATAACCATGCTAGTTGTCTGCCTTGCCTGGATGGTTTGATGCGTCCTTCCTGCAGTTCACATATCCACGATGTTTTGCTTGCTTGGGTTTCGTGGAATGGAAGACCTGCAGCCGTGGCTATCTGTCTGTGGTTGTTTGAGACAAAATTGTCATTGATGGTGACTGAGTTTGGGGTGCAGGTTTTTGGAGACCTCTTAAGGGCCCACATTATTCTGGCAGAGCTGAGCACCTGAAAGTGCATGGAGCTTTCAACACAAAGCTTTCCAAGCCTCTAATGGAGGTACCCAAAATGAGTAGCTTCTTAAGGAAAATTCGGGAGCTTAATTTCTTGTCACCCTTGCTAACAGCTGCATTGTGCTATAATGGCATCCACCGGATTGGGCCCCACTGATCGAGCTATAGTGGGGACCCGGAGGACTCAGAAGTCTAGCTGTATGAAGGCAAAGCCACTTCATCCTGGCAGTGCTGGAAACAGGTATTTTCCAACCAACCTGCAGGGTAGCACTCGGTTCCTGACTCTACTGGCAATAAAATGAGAGCAGCGGGGGGGAGTCTGGTGGGAGTTTCTCGCAGGGCCTTGAAGCTAAAGGATGGGACATTGTCATTGCAGATGTTACGTTCCCTGAAGGCAATAGTCTTAATCCCCTCATTAAAGGTCAGTGTTTTAAGTAGCAAATGAAAGAACCAGAGATTAGGATAGTGATGGGCTTGCCTGGGCTTGAGCTTGGGAATGGGATTGTCAAATTTCTTGGAATGATGGCTTCAAGTTAATCATCGCCATGCAGCCCCGGGTGGCTTCCAGCTAATCATGTTGGATGGTCCCCTTAGTCCTTATGTGAAAAGTCCTCCATCCACCCCACTGTTTCTTACTCCATAATTAGGGTCCTTGTTTGTTGGCTTCAAATAAAAAAAAAACCAACGTTATCCCATTAGAAGGGAATTTGCAGGACTCACACATTTATGAGACTCCAACATAGGAAAACATTGGAATTGAGACTTCTTCCATGGGGGGGCTGTATCTCTTGAGCTACAGTCATCAGACTATTTCCGCCTCATGGTATAAGTCTGGATGTCTGTTTGGAAGTAAGCTGACGTGTTGCGTTCTGGGTGGAAGAAAATGATGTAACACTTGGGACCGAAGTAACCTATAACAATCCCAAGCAAATTGACTACATTGAATAGAGCACTGTAGAAGGGTACCAGCACCCCTGGGTACACAGTTATGGCCACAAAGAGTATCACCCAAGAGGTGAAGTAGGAAGTTGTCCATAGTGTGATGTACTTGGCTTCATTGTAGGTCTTGGGAAACGCTTTGCCAACGTAGGCAAAACAGAAGCACAGGACGGAGAGGGACATATCTAAGGCAGTGTCCAACATTTGGAGAAACGCAGGAGTCTTCTTGCAATCCAGCACCAATATTGCAGGGTTGTCCACTAAGGGCAACTGGACAGGAGCTGGTGAGCTGATGATAAAGTTGATCATCAGAGTAACAGCTTTCAGAGCTAAAACCACGGCCATGAAAACGTATGGCCCTTTGTACTTGGTCCAGTAGTTATAGGCTTTGGGCAGCTTTGCCATGAGCTTGAAGATGCAGACTATCTGGAGGGACCTGATCACGATGCAGGAGATGCACAGAGTGAAGCAGAAGCTGGACACAGTCTGCCGCCACACACACTTGAACTCTGTTGGGATTCCTACATACGCAAGGATGTTGAGGAAACAAATGACCAGAGAGGCCAACATGAGCAAGCACATCCCACCTCCTGCAGACTTCACCATGGGGGTACGCAAATGAAAGGCAAATGTGAGCAGTGTTGCTAGGGTGGTTAAAAGGCCCAACAGTGAGACTATCAAGAGCACCACAGCTCTGCGATCGTGCCAGGCCAGATATGTCACGACCTTCGGGTAGCACGCTTGACTTCTGGCACTGGACCAGTGGGTGACAGGACAAGGCTGACAGTTGTAGTGGTCTGTAAAACAAAACCGGACCTTCGTGAGTCAATTGAGGGTGGTCCCTCCTATATATATGCCTAGTAAAATCTGGTGGGAGTGCTTTCGGATTTGGGCAGTCATACCATCTCAGACTGATATGATAATATCTCACTAACTAAGTCAGATCTGACCTGCCTGCGGCTGGAATGGGAGACCTCCAAAAGACACCCAACGATGAGGTATATCGCAGTAACTAAAATGACTACGTGCAACCTGTGCAGCACCTTGAGCCCCAAAGAGTAGGGCAGGACTGCTTGTGAGATAAGGGATTTGCTTTCCGATAGATAGATGACCTGATGCTCAGGCTCCTCTTAGGGAGACACTGCTGTTCTCAGACCAAGTTTTAAAACAAATGAGAAGTAAAACGCCGCGTGGTTCTCAGCGATCCAAGAGAGGACGAGTGTGGATTTTTAATGAGACTTGAGTTCCCATGGGGCTGATGAGATTTTCCCTCCCAAAATCTCCCTAACATTTCCACTTGGCAGTAATATCTTCCGTGTACGGTTTCTCTGTTGTGCTCCACATCAGCGTGGCTGTTCACCGACAGTGGCCAAGTTTCCTTGCATGGTTTTGTCTGGGCTGTTTCAGGATGTATGGTGCTTGGCAAACATAATGCCTATATTGTGGGACATCCTCAAATGGGAGCACGTTTAAGCTACCAGGATGTTCATTTTGATAAGGAGGGAAACTATGGCGGGCTTGCCTGTGGTTACGCGAGGAACGTGTGTTAGAAGTCAGGACTTGCCACTGCTCCTGCCCTTCACTAATTACAAAGCATCTGGAATGACGAGAATCAGCCTGGCCTTGGGGTTATCTTATCGCTCCTATAGCGGCCTTGCCAAAGTTGACATCCTCTCATGCTGGGGACTGCACAACCACCTTCCCCGTCCCAGCGTCTGCAATCTAAATGAACAAGACTGTTATCCTCACTTCGCAGAGATGGGACCAAGCAGCAGAGCGGCCCTAAGACACTTGGCTAAAATCATGCAGGACGTGTGGGGTGGAGCCCAGAACCGAACCCAATTCGTCCAACTCCTTATCCAGTGCTGCCTTCAAAGACTTATTGCAAAGCCAGAAGAGACCATTAGGTCTGATCTCATGCATGACATAAGGCAGAGGTTTCACTGCCTACTACCTTTTCCCATGGCCAAGAAACTCTAGTTCTGGGCTCCGTCCTCTGCTGGGTACCAACACTGTAGGATGGCATGAAAACAACATGCAATGGAGGCTTGGAAACCGCATTTTGCTTACCGCTGTTGTTGAAGTAAGTCCCTGCTTCACAGTCAACACACTCAAAACAGCAGGGATGGAGGCCAATGGGCTTTTTCCGTTGCCCGGGGATGCACTGGTAGGAACAGATGGATACAGGCACCTGGATGTAAAGAAATTTGAGGAAGAGCCTATAACAATGTACAGTTCAGCTGAGAGAGCCTGAAATGACTTCATGACAGTTATCATTACGCATGTTCACTTGGTCACAACATGAAAAGGAAAGGATACACAGCCGCGATAAAGCCAACCAGGTCATGTGCTGCCTTGAAAGAGGACACAAAGTGCGATGGCTTGGGCTAAAAGCTCTAGTGATCAATAAATTGGTATTTTCCAATTGCCGGCGCGCCCAGACATGGAGCTCAAGAACGCTGCATCGCCTTTAAATGGAAAGGGTGGCCCGGAATAGCCCAAAAGGCATCACAGGGACCTGGATATAAGCTGACCAGCCACTGGGTGTCACTGCTGCATCAGAGAAACCATGGGACGAATGGTTCTTCTGACGGAGACAATTTTGAATTTTAAAGCAAAGGGGCAAACATGCAAGCCTCCTTTGCCTACACAAGCAGCAGCCTGGGCCTGCTTCTGTCGCATGTCCCCGGACTGGCACACATGCCAGAATTGACATGCTGGAGTGGGCGTTCATCAGCTGGGCACAGCCAGCCCGCGTGATGTGAGAATCGGGTGGAGGGCACTTGCCGTGTTGCCTGGAGTATGCCAAGAGATGTTGTCCGTGCCGAACAGCAGCTTCTGGTGCATGGTGCTGTAGTAAGCGATCTTCTTGAACAGGTGGTTGTCTTGGTCCCACCGCCACTGCACGATCGCAAAGCTGTTTGGAGGATCACCGTTCTCATCGAACCGGATCTTGTTGTTGAGCAGAGAGAAATCCACCCGGCGCACCTCCGGCAGCAACTGCGAGTGGAGACGGCAGACAAGGTCGATCAGTGCATGCGCAGCACTGCTGCGTGCTGGAGCTCAAAGAGCAGCTGAAAGCGTGTTTCTAGTGTCCTTGAGGACTTGCGCTGGCTTATTTAACCTAACATGGAGCCATCCTGCATCTGCCCCTGCTACACAAGGAGACTGTATTTCTAGAACGGCCACGTGTGAGGCCCTGGGAGCAGGTCCTTTGATTTCTCTCATACAGACCACCAAGTTGCCACTGGAGATGGTTTCCAGCCACTTGGGCTGGATTAGACCTGTAGGTTAAACCCTCTACAGTCCTCTCCCAGTCCCTTGAACCAGCTCGTCATTAAAGCAAGGCCCTCAACACAACACCCACCTGCCAGGGGTACACCGTCCGCTTGTGACATCCCGTGGAGCCGCAGCGCAGCAGCCGGTGCAAAGCGTGAGCAATGACGTAGACGGCGGAGTAGACGTTGAAGTCTATGCGCTCCCCAGAGCCGCTCAGCTCCTTCTCTCTTTGCTTGGCCACCAAGAAGCACTGGTCACATACTTGGTTGCATGTTCCTTGGTCACTTGCCCATGTTCCAGCTCCTCCAGTCTGGTTGGAAGGAGCCTTGACCCTGAAGGTATTGAAACCGGGGATGGGGACCTCTCTGACTGCCACCCCCAAGAAGGTGCCCAACCTACTGATGTTGGTGATGCTGTGCAAACTGGGATCGGTGGCCCAGGCTTCAGTGCCAATCCACACCAAGTCTGTAACGTTCTGGCGGACGGCCTCCTGGAAGAAGAACGGGAGCGTCCAGTCCAAGGTCAGAACAAGGACCACCTTGGCAGTGCTCTGGTGGAGCATGTTAATAATGTCCTGGACCTTCGCTTGCTCCTCTGGTGACAGCTTCTGGCTGCCACGGGGCACCGGGATGCTCTCCTGAAACGCTATACAGACCCCCGTAGCCCAGAACCGCAAGAGCTTCAGATTCTCCTGCCCATAATCATCGTCGCCGAACAGCACGATGACCCAGTTCCAGTGAAAATGCTTCAGCAGGAGCAGCATGGCCTTGATCATCTGCTCGGTGCTGGGGATGGTGCGGAAGGCAACAGGGAAGCGTTTGGGGTTCCTCAGGGATTCGGTGGTTGCAGTGTAGGTGATCTGGGAGCAAGGGAGAGAAGCTGTTAGATGAAGAGAACGGGCAAACCAAATTCTGCATTGCCTCGTGGTTGTCAACCAGGGTGCCCCAGCGCTGCACAATATTAGCGCTGTCGGACGTGCAAACCTGGTTCCCAAGATGCACCCAGAGATTTCCAACAGGGATCCGGAGTTTTAAAAAACTCCTGCCCTGCTGTTCTTCCCAAGTGGGTTGCAGCATCGGAGCTGCTTTGTTATTTTTTTTGCGGCCAAAAGCCGAGTGAAAACTAAGAGCCGGCATTTTCCGAAGGGCGGGTTTCACAAGGTGGAGAACTACTGATCTGTGAAATCAGGTGATGGTAATAACTGGACCACGCAGAGGAGACGGGCACACTCAATAAAGCGCTGTTACGCCCGAGCCCTGGACCATCCTGAAAGGTCCCGCTGAGGAATCCAGCAGCAGGGCCTCCAACATCTGGCCTGGCCGATGTCTGAGATGACTAGAGAGTCCTAAAGCAAGCACAGGGCAACTGTCTCACCCTGTTGCTGATGAAAGCTGAAGTTTGCCGAGATAAGGGAGCTGACGCTCTTCAAATCAAAGCACAGTGGCTCTGATCCTGAAACCTACAGCGATGGGAATCTCAGAGGGGTTTGCCCAGCAATAACACGGGCCCCAACTTGCCTGAGGGATGAGGAAGAAACTCAGGACGCTGGCCATGGTGACGGCTCCTGGAGAGGAGTCAGGGCCAACAACAGCCAGGACCCGGGGTTGGTAGCGTGCGTAGCTCTCCTGCAGCTGCACCTTGGAGTGGTTGTTGGCGAGGAAATACAGGAGGGGGTGCACGATGTTGGTGTGATAACAGACATCGACCATCTCGTAGCCCAGGGAGATCCCGGGCAGCAGGGTGCTGCTGTTGTTGATCTCCTCCACTGCAAATCTCATGGCCTGGAGGAAGCTGTAGCCTACAATCTTCAGGTTAAACCTAGGAGAAGCATAAAATCGTGGGCTGCAAGTTGCAAAGGGGGACAGACCCCATCCTCCAAACCCTACCCTCATTTAGCGCTATGTGATATAGCAGTCTAAAAGAAACAAGCCCCTGGAACGAGCCCCCAGCAGCCTCAAGGCTGGGCCCCAAATTCTGCCATAAGATGCAGAGACCTGTGTAAATAAGTGATTCCCATCACCCTGCCCCTTGCTGAAGGTGTCTCAAATTGAGCGAGCCAATCGAGCAGCCTGAAACCGCAGCACACTGAAAAGCAAGAATTACTAGTCTTATTCTTGTTGTTTTAAGTTGAGCAACAGGGTCTGTTCCACTTTCAGACGCCTGACGTTTGTTAATGGCCTTGACGTAAACTTCAAAACGAGACTTTGTTTCCAACCGAGATATTCTTTCTTTGGACATTTTTTCAATGAAACGTCCTGGTGCTTTCCCCTGAATTTTTATGGGGCAGCTTAGACAAGAAATCCCCACAACACTGTGAAGCTGTTTACCAAAGCCTGGTTTTATATTTAGAAAAATGTCACCCAGCTCTGTCTGCAGCAAAAACTATGGCTTTTCCTCTGAATTGGACACCATATAAAGTGTATGTCCACAGCTGCATAGACTACCATCCTGGATTCAAGACAGTTGTCTGATTTCTACAAATCCTGCATCACGCCATGGCTCTTTGTATTAGGGTATCCAAACCAGGATATTTGCTATTTATCAATGAATCTTGGGCACAGTTCAGAGCCCCTGAAACTTGAATGTACTTATCCTCACCGTATGTCTCCGTGGCAGGGTATAGCTATTAGTACCGCTGCTTTACAGAATGGGAAAAAATGAAACACTGAGCTGAAGTGATTTGCCCAAGGTCTCATAGGGAGTATGTGGCAGAGAAAGGAGTTAAAGCTTGGTCTTCCAAGTCTCCTCCTCCTGCCGCTGTTTGTGCCAGGTGCTGTACATATGCATAGGGCAGGATCTGTTGCTCACTGAAGAGTTTACAGTTTAAATAGACAAGGGGCAGGAGGGGGAGCATTGCTGTTGTATGAGAAATTTTTAAGAGATTAAACTTCTCCATGGCCTTCAAACTTTGGTTGCTTCAACTTGGGTGCTTACCAGGAGTCTTTTAGAAGGCCAACAGGGAGATGTGCAATGCATGGCTACCGTTTCCTACAAGGTGACAAGCATCTGGCTTGATAATGTCAGCTTAACTTCTGGCTCGCAAACCGAGCCCGGATCAAGTGAGTCCCAGCCCTGAGCATCTACCGCAACACCTGTCCTGTGCCTTGGTCTGAGAATAAAGTCTTGCCGGATGCTACTTACGTCTGACATCTTGGCACCTCTGCGCGGATGAAGGGGGATTTGCCCACCATTTCAGCATGCAGCGAGAAGAGCCCCCCGAGCACGTAATCGCCTGCTAGATGGAAGTCGGAAGCGGTGAGCGTTTTCAAGCTGGTTGCGATCAGCAAGGCACTGAAACACAACCCGGCCTCCCTCATGGCGCTGCTGCCTGAACACCAGTCCGCGGGCGAGCGGCTGCAGCAGGTTCCTGCCTTGGATCCACCAACTTGGTGCTTGTTTTTGTCTGTTTGCGCTGACTTATTTACATGCATTTCAGGCACCGTCCTGAACACATTTCCATCCCGTCATGGGTTGTTGCAATGTCATGGGCAGCGAAATCTGGTGCGCGAGCTGGGCTGCTTCTTGCCTGCAAGAGAAAACACCTTGTGAAGACGTGTAGGTGCGGCAATGATGGTGACGCTTGTCTTTGTTAGTGGGCTGCTCCATCTGCCAGTGCCCTGAAGATCCTCGACTCCATCGTTTCATGGGAGGCCGCGTGGTCTAGTGGGTAGAGCACTTGAGGGGCGGACAGAGCTGTGGCTTACCTTCCTGCAACCTTGGAGCAGTCACTTCATCTCCCTGTACCTCCATTTCTCTCTCGCGCCCTTTGTGCATCTTGTACTCTCAGGCTGTAATAAGAGCATCGGGGCAGGGGATTTCTCTCCCTTTGTGCCTGCAGCGCCCAGTACAGTGCTTGAGATCTTGGAGGAGGGATGTAGATGCTTCTGCTGAACAAACTAAGAATACATGAATGAGGGTTGTCTCAATAGAGGAAGCAAGGTCAAAGCCAGTCCCTGGATGCCTTGAAGACTTGCTGTGACATTGCAACTGCCTGTAATCTGTGTTGTGTAGCTTGTTGTCAGCAACACTTAAGAACAAGGAGGATATTTATATAAGTATTGCCAATTCTTTAGGCATTGTGGTGTGTAGAATCAGTTTTGCTGTCCCTACAAACGCAAGTCCCCATAAGCGGGAGCGTGCATTTCCTTGGGGACAAACAGCAGCGGCACTGTGTGATACTGCTACTTATCCGTGGGAAACACCCATGCACGTGCGCTCTGGTGCATGGCACGTTGTCCCAGCTGGGGTTAGGGAGGCTGGGACCACCACCTGGGTTGGCCCCAGCAGCCTTACCTGGGGTCCTGAGGGCCTGGGGAGACTGCAGCCGTGGCAATCCAGCAGCACGGCTCTGATGTCCAGCAGTATACGTGCCACCCCAGTTTTTTAAGACACGGGGGATATTTTTTTCACTTCCAGCTGGACTTTTAATTTAGGGAAAGGCAGCATCCTCTACAAGCTTTTATTAGACCGCAGGTTCTTCAGTGCAGTCCTAAGTCCATGACTGGAGCTTCTTGCTGCTCAGGCCACTCATTAAATAAGAACAGCTTGGGAAGTGCTGAATGATTTCAGCTTCCTCTGAAGGAGACTGAAAGGAAAGGTAGCATCTAGCACAGAGGTAGGCAACCCCCCAGCACGGGTGCCAGAGCGTGGCACACAAAGGCTTTTTGCCTGGCATGTGCACCTTGGGGTAGGTGGCGGGGAGGGGGCCGGGGCTGCACTGCCACAACAAGGATCAGGCCCCTCATTACTCCCCTACCGTCTGCCCCTGGCACACCAACATTTTACAAGTCAAAGTTGCCGTGTTTTTGGCACTCTACCCAAAAACTTTGCCAACCCCTGATCTAGCAGGTGCTGAAACAAGGGTCTAATGGCCGGTGTTTGGCAACAGCAAAGTCATCACAGCACCAAAGAGCTTTAGAGACCAGGGAGATTGTGAGTTTGTTGGGTCCTTCTGGATATCTGCGTAATACAGAATGGACGTGCCAGCCCTCGTCCCAAACCACCATGCTGTATAGAAGTGATCCCTACCCCTTTCCCCCAAATAGGGGGGGAAAACCCCAAACTGAGGGAAATGCAGAACTGCCCGCTTTAAAGACAGACTACCGCGCCAAGCGGGCAGCCTTCATTTCATTTTCAGCTTGCCTAAAGACACTTGCTCAGAAGCGGGTCATTTTTTGTTCTGTGTGTACAGCCCCGGCCCCCTGCGCACAGTCTGTGGCTGGTATTTCTAGGAATCGGCACAACACAAAGAACAAACAGGAGCACAGACGTGAAGCCTGCCATCTCAGCTGCCCCAGCAGTGCCCTTTCGCCAGCGCCATGCCCAGCTCCGGTGTCTCAGCCGTGGAAATGATCCGCAGGTCGTATTTGCATGGGGTTTTGTTTGGGCGCGTGTTAAGTGGGGGTGAGGCCTGGTCGAATTTGTTCTTTGAGTGAAGTGATGGGCCCGGGCTGTGCACAGGGAGGACTGCTGCTTCACCCTGAAGGAAGCCAGGATGTAGGTAGCTGTGTTTTGAAGGTCTTTTTTTTTTTTAAGCCTGCAAGTTGTGGAGCGGTATCATCATCTAGTAGCCCCTGGGTGCCCGTGAGTGCTGTGGGATGTTAGGCAAAACATTTCCTCTCTGTGCCTTTGTTCCCCTCTAATCTGGTTTCTGTCTGTTCTATTGAGATGCTATTTGAGGCCAGGGCCTGTCTGGCTATATAGTTATACAGCGCCAAACCCAAGAGGTCTGGATCTCTGTTGTGGTGCATGGGCTTTACCAGCATGCTGCAGTCAGGAATTGAAGGGCCTTAAGCTACAGGAGCAAATAACTGCACCTTCAGAAACACAGAAGCCAGTCACTCAATCAATCCCTCACATTTCTGGTACTAATAACGGGGTGCTCTTAATTGAGGGCTCTCTGAGGGAATTGGTGGTGGCAGAACTGATCTGTTCCCAGTTCAAGACTCTGTGTAACCTAGACAGGCTGGAGCACTGTCTTGTGCATCATGGGGGTGGCTGTGCATCATGCTTTTAGCTTTGGGAGTCTCACTGAGACCAGACCTGGTGCCTGCTCAGCACAGAAGTCCAGTCCCCAGGTTAAATGCGCTCTTGGCCAGTGCACCACAATGCAGTTAAATTACGTTGGCTCTCTATTTAATCACTCCCATTGTTCCTATTTATTGACCTGCGAGGCTGGCAGATCAGGTCTGCGGCTAGGGTTTGGGCCTCCTACGCAACCCAATCTGCAGATGTGGAGAGGAAGGAATTAACCACGTCCTGGGACTTGAGGCTTCACCTATGTTGTAAGGTACGCTGCCCTCCTCCCCCCGGGCCTGACAGCAGGGACTGCACTGTACCATGATGGGAAAATGCCTGCAACCCCCTCCTACCGTCCCCAAAGGTTATTTGCATGTTACTATACTAGTTCCTCTCCACCACCATCCCCTAGCCTGGCATTTAAATTCAAATCGTGTGCATGATTTGCATGCATTTCCCATAGCTGCAACACCTGATCTTCAGTGTGAAACTGAGAATCTGGAGCGGTACGAGCTTCACCTTCTGCCCATCGGGTGGTCCCAGGGGTGCCTCTTGTATAGCTTCCTATGCAATGACCCCTAAAATCCTCCTGCCCTGCCCCCTACTCCACCTCCACAGGTTGTCCTTAATGCTGCTGAACAGGTGTGGGGGTGAATTGATGGCGAACAACGTTACATTTAACAGGCAGTATCACGGACCTTAACTGCTCAGGCTCTCATGGGAGTGGCCCCAGGCTGGAGTGTATTCTCCAAAGTTTTGGCTCTTGAATCTCTTCTTAAATTTGCCCCACCTGAATCACCAGGGATGAACTGGACAAGCTAGCAGGATCAGACTTTGCCACTGATGTGTTTTGTGGCCTTGAGACAGTTACTTAGCCCCACATTTGAAGGGGGGGAAAAAAAGAAAAAGAAAAAGCTTGAAGATTGCTGTGGACTTGAAGATTTCTGGGTGCCCATCCTGGAGCAGCCAAGCAGGAGTTTTAAGAAGCAGAGTACCCACAATTTCACATGGAGTTGGTGGGAGGTGCAGACACTCTGAAAATTGGGCCTTCGGTGTCGTGAGTGAAGCACCGAGCCTCCAATTCAGTGCCGTAATTCCTCCCTCTCCAAAATGGACACATCCAGCCCTGCCCACTGAACTTGAATTGAGCGGTAGCTGGAGGGAGGGCACTCCGTGAGCACGAAGCCTGCCTAGAGACCCACGGTAAGGTCTCCGCTTGTGCCGCCCTACTGATTTTAGCAGGGCTGAGCCAGCAGCCCATTCAGTTCCAGGATGAAAATCTCTGGTGGTCCCAGCGTAGACGAAAAGGCAGGGGGACGAGTGCACTTCCGCCTGCCCACAAGCTGCGAACTGCATGGGTATGCAGATCACTTTCCTGAGCAAATCACTGCTGGATCCCGAGAAGGTGTTAGCAGAGATTGCAGCGCCATTAGTGTCTATCATCCGAACGCATGAATTAAAGGGGTGAGATGCTGCTTGAAAGGATTTGACAGGAGCATGAAAGGCAGAAGGAGCTGTTAGATGCTCCCTGATGGTTCTTGGCTAACCTCCAGCATTCGTGTGGCTTGCTACCCCGGCGCTGTGTTTGCCCAGTAAACAACACTGGGATTTTCTCTTTGAGGTTTCAAGCGCACTGAAACAACAGATGATTTTGTCAGAAGTTACCATGGCAATTTATTAAGGCTGTCCCATCTCCTACTGCCCACAGTTTGGGCTGGGGAGGGAAACAGCACTGCAGAGATGAGCTGCTTGACAGAAGCATTGCAGGCCTGGTGACTGCAGCTCCTAACCGAGCTCAACTCAATTCTTGCGCCGGCCGTTAATGTCCAGCACTTGCATGGTGTCCTCTTGCTACATGAGCCCAGTGTGAGCTGTAGTGGGGACTCGGCCCCATACAGGATTAATCCAGCAAGTATTCAGGTGTCCAGCAAGGCAGATAGATATTTACTGAGTGGGATCCTGAATCTGAAAGGGTAAGGTCCTAAATACCTTTGAAAACCTGTACGCTTTTTGGTCATAAGCAAATCCTCCCACAGCCCCTGGTCCTACTTAGATTTGCAGAGAGGAAAAGAAGTCTCCTGAAGAGAGCACAGCTTTTCTAAACCTTTATTAGCAGTAACTACAGCAACGTGAGCCTTATTCTCATCCAACAATAACTGGACTTTCTTCATCAGGTCGCACCGCAGCAGCTTTTCCCATTGGAAACCCCACACGTCATTCAAATTGGTGAGCTGACATGCCACAAATGTTGACCAACTCGACCCCTTTGGCATCCAGTGGATTGCAGCCGTTGACCCTTGAGGCCAGCTGAAGCAGCGACTCAGGACACGGATGTCCTTTCCCTATGGAAAACCTAGTCCCCTCTCAGCTCTCTGCCAGCTCAGAGCTACTCTGCACACACTGCGCTCCAGGTGAGCCCTACCGCAGGCGTGCACTACCATGAGCAACAGTGTGCTCGCGTGTAAACAGCGTTCAAATCTTCAGTAAAAGGAAAGCAGCCAACTCTTGAGCTCCATCTCCATTTAACAAGTGCATGAAAATGATGTTCTGTGCTCTGCTTTTTCCATCATAGAGCAGGCAAAACTGGCACTTGTCAAAGGCAGACAGTGCTACCAGGCTAACTGGAGCCATGCTTTTAACACAATATTAACTTTTACTATTGCACAGGAGAATGGGGACCAATTCTCACCAGCCGTGCTGTATTGGGAAAAGAAAGCTCATGGCTGAGCAAAACAAAAACCAATAGTTCCTTGTCTGTCTGGGACTTGGCTACCACAGCAATATACCTGGGCATATACAAGGTGTTGCTTGCTTATTCCAGCCATGAGCACCACCTCTTTATATTTGCAGAGCTTTTATGCCATCTCCTCCTTTGAGTTTATATCTATTTGGGTTTGGGGTTCAAAGGCAAGTGGGACTTAATGGTGACTCGTTCAGTGATAGGGCAGCTTCTAGTGACTGTCCTTGGTTTTCATCCTTTTAAGCAAGGAGCAATTGGTTTAGTTCAAGAAAGTTAAGCGCGTGAAAGCTTTCCAAAAGCAGTCTCTTGAAAAGAAAGGTGGCTGATCTTTGTTAGGAACTAAAAAGCCCAGATCACAGGCTTCTACTATATGCACCAAAGGGAAAGCCATAGACAGTGCCACAGGAAGATGCTGCCTCGGGACTGCAGAGCTACCTTGACAAAAGACAGCTCAAGTGGGTAAGGATAAGGCTGGGACTCACCATGGCAGGGAGCAGCAGGCACACTGTGGGGCTGCAGCATCATTCGGGGTTCAGGGTAGAGCAGTAGCCACCCATAGTCCCTGAGGGGTTAAAAAGATCTAGAGGAGGGGCTGGAGGGGCAGGTAACAGCTGGGAGGATTGAGCCACTTGGCTCTTGGCACAGGAGGAGAGAGCACTTACTCTCCCTGGCAGAGTTAAAACAAATTTACCCCAGGATTGTCTCAGACCCTGTGGACGGATATGCAGCACGAAGGTGCTGGCTGAATCTATCGCTACCTCTCCGCATTAACTATACAAAGACATTCTAGGTGGTGCCTGGCTGCAATATTGTGTTGCCACAGATCAGTGCTGGCAGGCTGACCTTGCGTAATGTCACAAACAGCTAGAAGGTGGACAGATAACCTGACTCTGTCTCTCTGATTTCTAGGCTTAACCTACAACAGTGGATTCCACAAGATTTGTACAGTTAGAGCCTAATACAGCAAGCCCCTTGACACAGTTAGAACCAGAAAGTGCTAGTGACCTCTTAAGGAAGCCTTTTTTGCTTTGGCAATAGTCTTTTAGAGAAGCGTGCTACTAAATTTTCACATCCCTCAGGTACTGAATTGTGCGAGACAGCAGACACTGACTTGACGGACTGACCTGAAAGCAAACCACGAGCAGAGGCACAGCAGAGGTCAACATTTAGCCCCAGTCATGATCAGTAGCAACAAGAATGGTCTGAGATGGGGAGGACTGTGACAGTCCACTACTTAAACAGCTCTGAGTTATGGACTAATGGAGGGTAAGGGCTGGCCACCGAAGTAATGCTCTCTGCTAGAAATGCAATCAGGGGGTCCACTCCTGGTGACTCACCGAGGGTGAGAAAATGTGGACACCCCTTCAGTTGGGTGTTGAGTTTGCAATGCTATATCTGTAGGTTACAGCAGTTGTGGGCCATGTAGGACTAGACGGATCAGAATAAGCAAGCTGATCTTTCACTAGTGATACACAGCCAGTAGTGCCCAGTGCACAAAGTTCACTGAACCGTGCAAAAGATCTGGGCTAAGGCACAATGAACTCAAGTATTTCAATTAAATTGCCAAGCTGCCAATTTTAAATAGATTCCTGCTGTTGCCCAGGTACCTGTTGCTAATGCAGGACCTGCTCCAAGGAAGAGGAGATGCCCTCTGCACCCATTTGGGAATAGCTTAGAGAGGAGCTCAACTAATTCCCTTAAAACTTCTGTCTTGCCTTCAAGCAGCTGCCAAAGTCCTGGTAGAAACCAAGCCTGGAGTGTACCTGTTGCTGAAGGAGCTGCAAGGAGGCATGTGTGGCTAATCCCTGCCCTTGGCGTCAGGGGAGGACAGCTAGTAACTCTGCTGAGGTGACACGTATGGCCAATAAGTTCTTTCAAAGTACACCGTTTAGCAGCAAAGCATTACAGAAGCCTGCACAAAAACAGCCTCTGCTCCATCTCAGTGTGCCCTATCCTTTTCCTGATATTACCCACCACTGTTTCTCAGATAACAGCAGTGAGAAATCGGGACTCTCTCACAGGAGGCTAAGGGAAGCCTGAGGCAGCCAGCTGCAACGGAGAGGGCCCCGAGAGGCAGACAAAATGTGAGAGGGGAGAGAAGAGACATGAGCTTTGCTTTCACTGCATTACCTCCCTAAATACATCTGCACTCTGAACTCTGCCAGGTGACCCCGCTGGGATTCATTCCTTGCTGCATGAGGAAGGTCAGCTGAAGAAATTCAAAGCAAGACCTTGCCGTTAAACCCTGAGAGCAGAGGGTTGATTACCTACAATGTTCACTCCCTCTCCCCTGGTAGCTCAGGCGATGGCTCCGCAGCTTCAGCAGCGGACACCGGCTCACTTAAAACTAGATGGGGGAAAAAAAAAAGATCAATAGAGGGACAGTCCCGAGTTGGCCAGAGGCAGGGGACAGAAATGGACAAAAGCACCTCAAAGGTGTCATCCTTCATGCTCCCTGGGGCTCAGAGGGGAAGGAGCAAGCTTGTGGATTTGTTTGGTGCAGGTAAGAGCTGGCCTCACTTACGATCTCGCTCTCTCAAGGGCATTTCTCCTCTTTTGCTGCCTTCTGCTCCCCTGTGCCCATGGGTCTGACTGCTGCATCCTCGTTCCAGCCTAGAGGTTTTGAGGTCGCAGCAGTGCTTCCCCTCTTCCTTGCTAAGAAGCCTCACCCCAAAGCAGCTGGAGGACCGTGAACAAACTGCAGCTCAAGGGAGCAGAGAACACAGGAAGCAAAAACCCTGTTCTTGGGTCTACATCAGGATCAGGAAATCACAAGGGCTTCTCTGGTTCCAGGGCAACAATCTGGAAAACCTCATCTAAGACAAATTAAAGACTTTTGTTAAAGAAATTAAATGCTTCAAATCTCATCAGAGCTGTCGCGTCTAAGTACTCTGCACGTCAGCGTCAGGAGGCGGACGGCTGCCAGCAGGGGCGGCGCCGTACAGGGATCACTGCATGTACGAGTATTTCCAGTCCTCCAGGGGCACGTGGGTCTCCTTGATGGCTTGAGGAGACGTCCAGCGCAGTATGTAGTGGCGACCACCGGGCTTATCGTTGGTGCCTGTTTGAAAAGGAGGGAAACTGTGTTTTACTGGAGACCTGCAGAACTGAGCGAGCACCCGAGTCTGCCCTGGGATAGGTTCAGTAGTGAGATCCCAATCTTTTGGGGGAAGAAATGGGAAGCAGATAGGGCATCACTTGTCCTGGCTTTGCTACACAGGGCAAGAGCTCAGCCTTGCTGACTCTCAACACCCGGCCAAGGGAGCGAGAGCTGCGTAGAGAGAAACATCCCGAACGGGGACCTGTTCCTGCTCCCAGGGGAGGTTCTGCCCACTCACCCGAGGCGCGGGCCCCTCCAAACGGCTGCTGGGCCACAACCGCGCCAGTCGACTTATCGTTGATGTAGAAGTTGCCTGCCGCGTTCCTCAGGAGCTTCCTCGCTTCCTGGATGACGTTCCTGGGAATGACGGGGAGGAACGGCTCTGGTCAAGCGGGACCACTGCAGTGAGACTTGAGATGAGAGGTGGTGCTCTCCCCTACCCTGGGGGTCTTCAAGAGG